TTTTATATATATATATATATATATATATATATATATATATATATATATATATATATATCCTTCTACATACAATCTGCTCCCCTTTCTTTCTGAATAAAATATTTGGTCTTTTTATAGATGCATAAAGCATTTGCAAAACCAAGCAACACCGAAGAACGTGGTCATGGCAGATGACGAGTACATACTCCACGTTGAAGGAACTGCAAGTTCACAAAGAGTCATCCGCCATATCGGAGGACAAAGTTGGCCTGGTAATTAATTAATTCGTCTTCATTTCCCCCTTTTTTTTTCTTTTCGAAACATCATCGCTTATCAACGGGTTCTCTAATCTCTAGGTAGGCTCACATTAACGAACTACGCTCTCTACTTTGAGACCTCGGGAATCATTTCTTATGAAGACGCATTCAAACTTGATCTATCGAAGGACATAGAACAGTCAATAAAACCAGCATCCACAGGCCCATTGGGTGCTCCTCTTTTCGACAAAGCCATCATATACGAGTCTTCTGAGCTGTAAGATTACCATTTCGATACTTCATATCTGGTTTTATCTTTCTTGACTTGATTTGACCTTTTTTGGAGTTTTTTAGGGAAGAGAGTGTTGAAATCGAGTTTCCAGAGATGACGAGTTCAACGAGACGTGACCATTGGCTTGCTATTGTGAAGGAAATCATGCTACTGCATAAATTTTTAGCAAAATTTAAAGTGGAATCACCCCTACAAAAATGGGAGATGCATGCGAGGACTATAATGGGGATCATAAGACTCCATGCAGCGAGAGAAATGCTTAGAATTTCTCCTCCTGATCCGAAAAGTTTTCTTATTTTTCTTTTGTTCGATGAGCTGCCTACAGGGAGTAATGTGCTACAAGAAGTTGCTGAAAGTTTGAAAACGGTGGACATTGGGCACCCATGTAGTGCTACATCTGTACTTCGCAACTTAAATGTCTCCCAAGGTTGTACTCAGCACACAGAAAAAGAAACGGGAATTGCAAATAACAGACCAGACAATCTAGAATCGTTGGAAACAGCTGTTGAACAAGTGAGAGAGGAAGCAAAAGAGATCAATATTGCAAAAGCTAAGGCTGATGAGTTGAAAGATGAAGGAATTGGCAATAGTGCGCTTGTATTAATGGTACGCCTCTCTTTGAAAACAAAGGGGTGTTTGGTTTGTTGGTTTTCGACTTTTTGTGGAGTCCAGTCGGAATTGAAATTCAATTTCATTCCAATTGTGCTTCTTATTTACGGATTTTGTTGGATTTGGCGACAATTGAATTCAATTTCATTCCAATCGCATGTTTATTCCATTTCGCTCCAATCGCATGTTTATTCCATTCCGTTTCAATCGCATGTTTATTCCATTGAACAGTGCGTTTGGTTCCCTAGATTCACAGGGTTTGGCTGGAATTGGAATTCAATTCCATTCCAATCGAATTTGGTTTCAAATACCCGACTACCCTTTGAAATCCAATTCCCAACTTTTCCTTGTTAAAAATACTCGATTACCATGTTTAACCCTAGAATTTACAAGCGAATCCCATCTCGCCACTTCATCTACATATTATTGTGTGCAGGAGCTGGTGAAACCATTGAAAGGTGCATTGCCATGGTTTAAAGAGATCATACAATGGGAAAGACCAGCAATAACCCTAACAGTGATCGGAATCACTCTTCTAGTTATTTACAAGTAAGTCACTCCTCCCTCATCGAATCAAATCAAGTTCTGAATGAATACAAACTAAGAAAAATTAAAAGTTGATTGTGGTTTCAGAGAGTGGGTTGGAATAGCTATGGCAGCATTCATAATGTGGGTAGTTTCAAAGATGATTTGGGCAAGAAAACATGAAATAGGCAAGAAAACCAAATTTGTAGTGTGCACAGCTTCTGATCAAACAACAATGGAAAGCATAGTATCAGCACAACACGGACTCAACACAGTATACAACATCATGCAATCGACAAACATCTCGATATTGAAAATTTGGTCAATACTGTTGTCCAATGCCCCCAAGGTAATTATTAAACTCGATTCTTATTCAGTTACTACTTATGAGTGTTATAAATTTATATTTTATTTTTTTGTTGCTGTTTGATGGTTTGTTGAAGCACACGGATATGGTGATTACGGGAATGACGGGGTGTGCGATTGTGTTGGCGGTGGTTCCTGTTAAGTTTATGATTATGGCGGTTGTGGTGGTGATGTTTGGAGTGACATCGAAGTTGGGGAAGGGTATGAGGAAGAGGAAGAATGATATGGGGAATCGGAGATTACAGGGATGGTGGGATTCCATTCCGGTTGTTCCTGTTGAAATTGTGGATAAGGTTGAAGAGATTCCTAAGGCGACCAAAGTGGACTAGGGAGTAAGCGGTGTTGTTATGTTGTTTGAAGAGAATCAGCGAATCGGAGATGTTGTAAAGGTTCGGAAGTGTGTGCAAAAATCGAATTTAAAACTGAAAGAGATCGTAACTGGAACCTTATAGTTAGTAGTCCGGTTTGAAGGATGAAAACTTCAAAGAGATTTAGTTATGTATAAAAGTAGTTTGGTCTGATTTGATTTAGTGTATACGGATCTTATTGTTAATAGTGGAGTTGTGTTGTAATATCTTTCATTTTCAGTAGCTGTAAATTAGGAGATCGATAAAAAATGTCATGTTAAAATGAGACTGGAATAAGAAAATGGGACTTAAATAAAGAAGGAAGGTATGTTATTTTGGTTTAAATTTGTTAATTTTTGTAAACAGGAACTGCTTTGCATAGAAGATTTGGTTTGTGTTTTAAGTAGGGTTATTTCCATAAAAGACCCTACATTTTGATTTTTTTTCTTTTTAGACCTAAAAGTTTTTTCTTTT